AAAAAAAAAAAAAAAAAAAAAAACTGTGTCAGGTCAGAATGCCTGACTGGACCTTAGAAATATACCAGAGAAAACTTCTAAAAAAAGAATTCCTCTAAAATATTTCCATTTGTGAAGAGGTGATACCAATGAGCAACAGTTCATGGTAACTGGGCTTTCATTGAGAAAATCATCCAAGAAATCATTAACAATGATTTATAAGAAGAATGATTCTTACATATCATTATCATGTTGGGTGAATAAAATGGTAAGTAGTCTACATAAATTACTAATTTGTATTAATTGAACACAGCCAAACTAAGCCTTTCTGGATTTGTTTAAGAAGAGAATACAAAGTTAACTCTGCAATTCAAATAATAGAAAGTTAGTCTGAAGTTTTCTGAGGACTTCCAGAACCAAAACTTGTCATAGATTGGTTATTATTTCCAGTTTCTCCTTCCCTCACTAGGAAAGTATTATTACACATCCACACCCTTTGCCATGTTACCTGGCAGTGCTTCCCACCAGAGAAGTAGAGGAGTATATTTCCCTGCCTCACTGATGTTAGGCTTGGCCATGTGACCTCTTACAGCAAATGGAATGTCAGCAGACATAATATGAGCTGAAGTTTTAAATGTGTTTCTGTGATCTGTCCTGCCCTCTTGCACTTCTGCCATCTGTCAGAAGATCATGCCATAGCAAATGTTCTCAGAAAGACAGACTTGACCCATAGCCTCACTCCAAGCCATACCACTTGACTTGTAGAGTCATAAGCTGTTGTCTTAAAGTACTGAGACTGAGTTTGTTAACCCTCATTATTTCAGCAATAGTTTACCAATACAGGGTCCCAAGTAGACTAATTTTCTCAAATCTCTAGCATAAAGTTGCCAAAGTGCAAGTGGTCCAGGAAGCCAACAACTTTCTTTTCCTCCATCCCCACTGCTTTTCCCCATGCTCTCCCTTCAAAGGAGGAAGCTGCTGATTGATTTCTTTCTCTTCCAACAGCTGATGCCCAGGCTTCCCTGGATCAAAACTTGATAAAGGAGATGGTGCTACTTGTTATAGCCTGGAATCTTGTGTGCTTAGTCTTGGCTCCCAATACCTGGAAGTGTTTGAACTACCTGGATTCTTGGATATACACAAACACTAAAAGTCTTAGCTTTCTTGGACAGCATCAAACACAAATTTCACTTGGATATTCTGCTCAGGGTCAGACCTTCTCTATCACTATTTCTCTTAGAATACAACCAATTTTATTTAACTTGCAAGGAATCTAGTCCCACCTCTATACTTTCCTCCTCAAGCCTATGAAAAGAAAGTAAAAAGGGAGGAGAAAGGATGACTCAGCCATGGTGAATTAGAGATACTCATGAATGTGAAGAATGCTTTGAAGCAAACATAAAACATACACCAGGTAGACTATATCCAAGGATACACATACATGCACCTTAGTAGAATCTAAGCTATCACAGCAGTTTGTTTTATTTAAAGGAAATATTTATTCATCAACAAAAATAAGAGAATCTGAATAGCATATATAAACCAAGAAACAAATTGAAGCTATTACTTCTTACCTGTTTCAGCAGGGTTCTATTGGTCCCCAGTTTATGCTGCTCAATGCTTTTTCTCACATAGACTCTTTCTGTAGGAGTCAGGTCTTCTTTCATTAGTGCATGTAGTTCTTTTAATTGTTCACTTTCATTTTCTGAGCCAGCATGTAAGCTAAAGAATTATACAAAAAACACTCCTTTTTATTCCATTTTTCATAACATCACAGTAAAACAAAATACAGATTTTCTAAGTTAACCAAGAAAAGATAAGCCTTTCTCCATTCTTCAAAAATCAAATTTAAGGTAAGAGTGATATAAAATTACCATATTTCCCTCTGACCATGCTGTGACTTCTGGAATTTTGCATTCTTACCTATAAGGTAAAATCGGTTTGGCAATCTTCCTAACACTCCCAACTCTGACAAAGTTTTCAAATCCAAGACTGAGAAGCCTTTAAATAAGAAAACAATATAAAGTAGATTCTGATTATTTAGGAAACAGAATATAAAATAAAGTTTCAAATAATAACTGTGTTATTACAATTAATTTTGTGTAACAGTATATTTTAATTATAAAATTGAATGTGAAATACCTAAACTCATATAAAGTAAATGCAACGTAGTTGGTTTTTTAAACATAAGGCATTTTCTAGAGAACTTTTAAGTATGCATTATTCCATCTTGAAGGCTCATTAAATGTTCATAAAATACCAATGTTAGTATTTATCACAAATAAAATTTCCTCTAGAAACATAATAAAGCAAGCAATGGCTACCTTATACTTAGCACCAAGATTTGTTAGGAAGAGCCTCTTTACATATGTTATATTGTTTAACCCTCACTACAGCTCTAGGTGATATCTCCTCTTAGAGATGAGGACCCAAGCTTAGAGGTGAGGTATCATGATTCAAACCCAGGCAACTCTGTCTACATCCAAAGGTTATGATCATTTCTCTACATACGTTACCCTCCAGTTAGGGCTTTGTGAGGAAGGACCCCCTCACCTACACTTCCCTTTTATATATCTTACAGCTCTAGCACTATGCTGGGAACACAACTGGAACTCAGTGAATGCCCAACCCTCCAAAACTTCTTCCACCATGTCAAAATGGGAATTTAAAGAGCTGGAGAACTAAACTATAGCTCTCTAAAAATAATATTCCAAAATAATTATGAAACAAACTATTTAGTGTCAATATATGAATAGATTCAATTGTTACATTTTTCACAGTCTTCACCTTGAAGAATAATAGCTACTTAACAGGCTAAAATTCTAGTTTACAATTTTTTTCCAGTGCAAGTTTGTTAAATCTATAATAATAAAGGGTAAAGTCTCCTCAAAGTACTATTCACCCCATGCTCTTTCATTTCTTCTCAAGAAACTGTTCCATCCATTACAACAGGAAAATACTGTTCGAGTACACAACGAAAATGTTATTTCAGTGTGAAAACCCATATAAAACCAGAGTAAGCAGTTGAGGCTAGATCCTAATTAGAGATTCACATTTCTCAGGTCCTCATCAGAGATTTAAGCATTAAGGAATCTCTTTTATATGTTTCCTGTTAACTTTTAGTATTGAGTATTTACCTTCCCTCCTCATTCCACCTTCTTTTTTTTGTTTTGTTTTGTTTTCTAACAGTCTACAGTTAAATTTTCATCTTGGGCTAAGCAATCTAAAGTTCTTTCCTGTGTAGACTCCAGGTAACTCCTCATTATCTTTATTTAAAAAACAAACAAACAAACAAACAAACAACATTGTCCTCAGCCACTCTTTTAAATTACTTATAAGAGTGTATACTGGAAGAATCTTTCTGAAGGGAAATTTTGAAAAGTATATTTAGAAGCTTAAAAGTTTTCATATCGTTTATTCTAGGCTTAGGATTATATTCCTAAGGAAAGAATCAAAAATGGATACAGAGTTTTATGTTTAAGGATCTTTGTCATAATATAATTCATACTGACAAGAATTTGGAAATAATTTACTGATCAAAAATTGCTTAAAATATGGTATAAGCAAATCACTGAATATAAGTTATAAAAAAATATGTTTTCTAAGATTTTTTTTTTTTTGAGGCAGAGTCTCACTTTGTCACCCAGGCATTAGTGCAGTTATGCAATCTTGGCTCAATGCAACCTCTACCTCCCAGGTGATTCTTGTTCCTCAGCTACCTGAGTAGCTGGAATATTACTGATGTGTGCCACCATTCCCAGCTAATTTTTATATTTTTAGTAGAGATGGAGATTCGCCATGTTGGCCATGCTGGTCTTGAACTCCTGGCCTCAAGTGATCTGCCTGCCTCAGCCTCCCAAAGTGCTGAGAATACAGGCGTGAGCCACCTTTTTTAAATAAAAAAAGCAGGACACAAAATACCACATACTATTGAATCTCAAAGTTGGAAAACCAAATTGTGTGTGTGTGTGTGTGTGTGTGTGTGTGTGTGTTTGTGTATTTAAAAATCTGTAAATAAATATGATTAAACATCTGTGTAGTCTGCATATATTCTACATAAGCATCAACTTGTATGATTATGAAAATTAATTTTTAAAAAGCCTAGACTTAAAAATAATGAAGTGTTTCTCCTAATCAAACTTTGCCATTTATGTTGAAATTCAGATAATTAAACATTGGAATGTTGGTGAAATACTGTAATACATCTTTGCATTTTTAATAAAGTCATGCAATCACAAAAATTACCTTCAGAACAGATTGTTATTATCTTCTTTGCATCCCTCTTATTGAAATAAAAAACATAATTTACTTAAGTTTTTTTTTTTTTTTTTNATTTTGTTAAACCGAATTTTGTGAAGAGACATCCTCTGTCTCTCTCTCTCTCTCTTTTTTTTTTTCACCAAGTTCCCAAGAACTAGAAAAGGATACATCCTCTTTTTATAGCTGGATTCAATTTGCTAATAGTTTATCTAGGGTTTTTGCATTTCAATTCATGAATGATATTGCCTTATAAATTTCCCTTCTTTATAATGTGCTGTTAACATTTTTCTTTCTTTCTTTTTTTTTTTTTTTTTTTTTGAGACAGAGTTTCTCTCTGTCACCCGGGCTAGAGTGCAGCGGTGAAATCTCAGGTCACTGCAGCCTCCACCTCCTGAGTTCAAGCAATTCTCCTGCCTCAACCTTCTGAGTAGCTGGGATTATAGGCACCTTCCACCATGCCTAGCTAATTTTTTTTGTGTGTGTGTGTGTATTTAGTAAAGACGGGGTTTCACCATGATGGCCAGGCTGGTGTCGAACTTCTGACATCAAGTAATCTGCCTGCCTTGGCCTCCCAAAGTGCTGGGATTACAGGTTTGAGCCACCACACCGGCCTGATTTTAACCTACTTCTAAGGTAATAGACCCAAGACTCCTGGGTCAGGGACAAGAGCACAGGCACAGGAAGCAGTATAATCATCAACATAACTGCATTGGTTTCCCTTGGCTTCCAAGTCACATGGGGAGACTGAAAACAGGGTCCAGGTAGATGCCTGCACATACCATGGGTTGAGGAGTAGGGCAAGAACACTGAGGTTGGGGATCCATTATCTTATTAGAAGTAATAAGCAAGCCTACTCTTTGTCCTAGAGGGACAGTTTTTACTTCATCCGTCAAAATTGCTTATTGCAAACAAACTGTGACAAATGCGTTGGGTAAGAATGGTCAGGGCCTTGTATCCTTGACATCCCAGTAGGGATGCTCAGGGCCACTGGCAGATTGCCTCCCCCAACAATACGTCTCTTGCCCTATATGTTCTTGGTTGAACTTGAATTTTTGCATGAGTATCACTGTGCCAAAATTTTCAGTTTTGGTTTTGATTTTATCCTACTTACATACTAATTAGTTAGCCCGTTACTATTTCATAGATGCTGGCTCCCGGGTCAGAGACAAAGGTCTTGCATTCTTGGCATAGCCAGCTAGACTACATGGACGCTCAGGGCTCATAGTGGGTTACCTCTATCAACAATATCCCAAAACATTAGCTACTTAAATGCACTTGTCATGCCTACCCAAGAAGTACTCTGTCAACAGCCACATTCGTAGAAGAAGAAATCAGAAGTTTCCATGGCTTTGCATTTCCAGTGTTGGGAGCTTCACTCTTTTCAAACAGCTGTACAAAGAACAAAATCACCACTGCCAGCAAATAACTCTTTCCTGCTCCAAACACACCTAATTATTTTAAAAGAAGGAGAAAAAAATAAAAAGTATAAAATAAATAACTTTCTTTTTTCTTTTTCTTTTTTTGAAACGGAGTCTTACTCTGTCGCCCAGGCTGGAGTAGTGGCATAATCTCAGCTCACTGTAACCCCCATCTCCTGGTTTCAAGTGATTCTCCTGTTTCAGCCTCCTGAGTCACTGGGATTACCAGTGTGTGCAGCCACGCCTGGCTAAGTTTTGTATTTTTAGTAGAGGCAGGGTTTTACCATATTGGCCCAGCTGGTCTGAAACTCCTGAACTCAAGTGATCTACCTGCCTTGGCCTCCCAAAGTGCTGGAATTACAGGCATGAGCCACTGCGTCTGGCCAAATGTAAATAAATTTCTACAGGCATAACAAATATTTCATCCATCTCTCCCTCCTTCATTTAATTAATATGTTCAAAAAACATTGAGTGCTCATTATGGGCAAAGCACAGGGGATAAATAGATAACCAAAATACCTCCACTTTTAATGAGACCATCACCTACTTAAAATAAGTAAAGGAATAATTATAAAATAATACTGTAAGTAATATTATTTTGGATCAGAGAAGGAAGAAAATCTCTGTTTTGATGGAGATGGGAATGCTTCCTAAAATGTGGAAGTAGAACTAAGACTTCCAGAATAAGCTATCCAGACTGCTTAGAGAAAGGGTCATTCCAGGCAGAGCCGTGACAAAACATGTAGCTGTTAAAAGAGCTTTTCTATATAACCTCTACCAAATAGGCAAGAGATGAGAATGTTAAGGTAGGCACAGGGATAAATCACAAAAGCTCTGTTTGCAATAGCTAAACAAAGCTTGAATTTTATCTTAAAGGCCAACAGAAGTCATCTAAAGATTTTAAGCAGTGGGTTTGATTTTTTTTTTTTTTTTTTTTTTTTTAAACAGAGTCTGGCTCTGTTGCCCAGGCTGGAGTGCAGGGTGTAATCTTGACTCACTGCAATCTCTGCCTCCCAGGCTCAAGCCATTCTCCCCCACCACAACCTTCCAAGAAGCTGAAACTACAGGTGTATGTCTCCATGCCTAGCTAATTTTTAAATTTTTTAGAGATAGGGTTTTGCCATGTTGCCCAGGCTGATCTTGAACTCCTAAGCTTAAACGACCTCCCCTCCTGGACCTCCCAAAGTCCTGGGATTACAGGTGTGAGGCCAAGCAATGGGTTTGACTTTATCAGATTGTGTTTTAAGAAAACAACTTGAATGAAAATATGAAGTAAGGCAAAACTAATGGTAGATCAATTAGAAAGTTGTATGAGATAATTATAACAATAATAAATGTTAACTTTACTAAGCATTTCCCATGTGCCAAACACTGTTCTAAGCTCTTTACGTATGTTAACTAATTTAATCCTCCAACCCTATGAGGTGAATGCTATTATGATCTCCATTTTACAGAGCAGGAAATTAAAGATTAAGAGATATATAACCTGCCCAAAATCATACAGCTAACAAATGTTAGAGTCAGGATATAAATTCAGGATTCTAACTCTAGAGCCCACACTCTTATCCACTAGGCTACATGGAGATATGATGAAGGCTTGGACTGAGAAGATATAAGTACACTGGAGAAGAGATACTAAATATGAAAGATAGATAGAAGGTAGAAGGAACACATCTCAGTGACTAATCTGATGGTGCGAGATGAATAGTGAGAAAATAAGAGGAAGATTAAGAGAGAGTCACTCTTGAGAGAAAGAATAGTCTAGGATGAGTCAGGTTTGATTTGGTCAACAAGGTGGATGTGATGTAATTCCTCAAAATAGGACAAAAAAGTAGGATTAGCTTTGGGATGGAGGTCTATGAGAGGAAATGTGCTACAGAGGCAACAGAATCCATATAGAATTACTTACTATAAGTAGGAGGAAGTAAATCTCCTTCACTTGACAGAACCAAGAGGTAAGAATAGCTCCAATATTAGATAAATTGGAGAAGCAGGGCAGGACATTGAAAGCAGTTTCTGTTACGGCCTCCATTTCCTCTTTGGGGTCAAGAGAAAGGGTAAGAATGAGGTTATGAGAAGAATTAAGGTTTGTAATCGCTGATATAAAGGATAGAAGAGTGAGCTGACTAGGAATAAATAAAAGATTTTGCTGATCAAGCTAAATCTATTCTAGTAGAGCAACATGTAAACATCTAGATCAAACCTGGATACTCTGACCATAAGTCTATAATGCTACTCATTTATCAGATAGCTAATAAGTCTCCCTTTTACGGTAGTCAGTTCCATTCTCATCTAACAGTTTACCAAAGTGGGTTCAGGTTAAAAAAACTCTACTTAGAGTTATTCTTGAACCTCTTTTGACTAGGAAATTATAAAGGAGCAGACTGATTTATAAAAGCTTACAAATAGAAAACAATTACAATTATTTTCTTTCTTGCTTCTTACCATGTATGATCATGATAGGGAGGGTATGAGCTTGCAGTTCCTTCACTTCTTCAACACTTTCATGTGATGCCATCATTTGAGCTATCTGAATTAGAGCTATAGCTTGATCTTTGTTTAACTTGTGTGCCTGAATCAACTCACTAGCTAACTTCAATGTTGCTCCTAGGCTGAGTAGTTCAAATTTTGTGTTGACATTTGTGAAGGCTGGTGGGATAAATTTTCTCTTACTAACTCTTTTGTTGCTGACTGTAGTTGACGAAGACCTAATAAAAATGAAGCAAATAACAAAAAAATTAGAGGCATTTGAAAAGACGAGTAGAACAATTCATAAATTAGCCATCACTTTGTAAGCATTACAGAGAACAGTTTTTTATGGAAACAAACAGTAAGTGGATATATACTATAAATGGATACATACACCAATATTGAGGATGGTAGAAGAGAGCTAATGTTTGTTGAATACTTGCTACGTGCTGACACTCTGCTAAGCATTTTACATATTACTTGATGAAATCTTCACAATAACATTAGGAAGTAATTAATTAGTTAATTATCCAAAATACAGATACAAGAATATTAAACTTTCCCCCAACACCACACCACAAATAAGTGGTAGACTCACTTTAAAGCCCATGCTCTATTATCCAAACCTGACTGAGATAATTAATCTAGCCCTCATTTCAGGTAAAACTAGATCACATGAATTGGTTTTATTTATATTTCTATGAAAACTCAATTCATAGGGCCGGGCGCGGTGGCTCAAGCCTGTAATCCCAGCACTTTGGGAGGCCGAGG